ATGGTGCAGGAGGGGAAGGCCCTCTATGAGGTGGACTGATTCAGTGACTGGGATAATCGGGATGGGAGTGTCAGAGACAGTGCAACTGGCACAGGACAGAGCAAAGTTTAGGGCTATTATACATAAGGTCGCTATGAGTCACAAGCGACTCGACGGCACATAACAACCACCACCTCATCTGCATAATGGGGAGAATAAAAAATGACTGGCTCATAAAGCCTCTTTGAGAATATTATAATATTGTGAGAAAACCTAAGTCTAACAATGTCTCCAATTCTCTAAAGTCATTGCTAGATGATTTTAGGAGATAAGAGTCAGTCTGTTTTTTTTGTTCAATGGAACAAAATTTCATCTCCCACTCATCCACACTGTATCAATTCAATAATACACATTCAAAGATGCTCTTTTAAACAGAAATTTGAAAACTAACAGGAGAGAAGTATGACCTACTTTAAAATTCACATCAATACTATCTAGAATGCTATGTAACATATTATTTTAATTTTGTGCTATTCATCCCTTAAAATTATTTAAAAGGAAATTCTTGGGCTTATTTATATTTAAGAAGTACATGGCCACTAGGGAGTTCTGATGGCTTAGTGGTTTTGAAGCTGTGCTGCAATCCCAAAGGAAAGTGGTTCAAATCCAAGAGCTACTCTGAGGGAGAAGGATGGCAATCTCCTCTCGTTGAGGGTCAGCTATGAGTTGTTTCCAATTCAATGGCAAACAACAACAGATGGCCACTACCAAGACAGTATGTGTAAACACAAAGCTTAGTATATTACTACACTAAAGACAAGTTAATTTAATTGAAGACTGCTTAGGTTACCCTTCATCCCAGAAGATTCTGATTCGGTATAAGGTGAGGTAGTTCTAAAATTCGTGATCCCTTGTGGTGCTTATGCAGCTGAACTGATGATTAACACTTTGTAAACTACTGAAAGTGATTAATTTTTACTAATAGCTGCTATTATTCTCACATATACATCTTATATTGAACCTATATTTCCCATTCTTCAAGATACTAATTATTTCTAAATCCCTTTGTAATCTGAAAGTAGGTAGAGATAAAGGCTCAAGAAAGTAGATTTTTCTCTTCATTACTGACTACATTATAAACAAAATTTTTAACTTTAAAAATCTAATAATAAAAAGTTTTCCATCATTTTTATTTCATTCTATATTTAACTCTTTTTTTGTAGTTCTGAAACTTTGGCTCCCATTCACTTTCTAATTCTGCTTCCTCAATTATGAAATAAAATAATAATGATTCCATAAAATAGCAAAAATTAAAGCCTTTAGAAGAGCTTAATGCCTTATTAGGTACTTAATGAATGTGATCTTTTGTTTTATTGCAATTATATTCACTAACATTCTCTTCATGATTGAGACAAACATTATGTTTATAGCATGTCATACAGTTGTCACATGCTATTATCTATCCCCATCTATCTAAAAGCAAAACATTCTTAGGAAGTCTTTCATAAGCTAAAATGGTATAAAGCAAATAAAAAATTACCATTATCTTACAGGGGGATAATGTGAGTGTTCCTGAAAGAAAGCTACTAATCCATACCAAACAAGACAAAAAACTTCAAATTAATATCTAGTGTTTACACAAAGTTCAAAGCTGCTGCAGCTTGATGCTGGATGTAGCCCCTCTCACTATTAGGAGATCTGGTGTTAGTCTTTAATGGCTCACACTGCAAAACAAATGCTGAATGCAACTTTGGGGTTTATTTGTTCTTCTTTTCACAAAAGTGAAAATCCTTATTGAATTTCTTTTGATTTGTTAAGGTGTTTTGTAAAAGAGGCATAAAGTGAATTTCTGAGATGGGGAAATAAATATCTTTATATAATTGGTATATATACATGAAATCTTTTTGTGCCATCAAGCTTCAGCACTGGAAAAATCCTTGGTAAAGGACCAAAGACGGGTAAGTTCCAGGTTGAAACCTGAGTATATATGAAAACTTTTTTGTTTGTGGTGGAAAATTTTATCTAATTCACTAAACTAGGTAGAGCCAGAGAAATAAGATAAATGTCAGATAATGAGGTTTTAGTCTCAGTTCTGCCACTAAAATGTTACATGACTCTGGGCAAGTTACAATTTGAGTGTCAATTTCTATTTCTGAAAAAGCTTACCTTGAAAGTGAAGATCAAATGAGATAATGCAAGAAGGATTTGGTTTTAATTGCAGTTATTCTTGTGATAAAGAAAATATCTCAATTTGGGAGCAGTTCACAAGATCAATTCAACAACAGAGATCAATGAGCATGATCTCTGTAGTTACATGCTTAAATGACACTACATTTATTTGAATCTCCACCTAAGCTAGTTATGGCATGTTCTCTAATGCCAACAAGTCATAATTGGTATTAAAAAAATATTCGAGTACTGCAGAAATACTTAATATTCCTACAAAGTGAGAGAAAAAACGTAAATACAGAATACTATCAGGATTTCATTATGTGGCAGAAGCTGCTAAAATACTTCACACCTGTCAGCATAGATTTTACTTCAATGCATAACTCTGTTTCTATTTCTTCTAGGCTCTTATTTAATCACATCCAATGTATACAAAATTTTCAATGTACACAATGTATACACATGCATGTGCATGGTAACTGTTCAGATTTGTTATTTGTCATTTCTACTTTGTGATACTGAAGACACATCAAATTTTCTTATAGAAATGCATTATATAGTTTACAAGTTTTTAAACATTAATTCACTAAAAAGATTACAGGGGTTGTAATATTTCCATTTACATTTAAATTACTGTATTATAGAGGAACAAACAAAAGTTTGCCTCTTATTTTTCTATCAATGGTTAAGAACATAAAAAAGTACAATGCATACTTCTGATGCCATTCTTAATGGACTATATCAAAGAAAATAATTTTATGTAAGAAACAGTCCTGCAAAATGTATAAATATTTTCGAAGTTATTTCAATACAGCAAAAATACTCTCTATTTCAAAGATATATAATTATGAAATCTAATAAAAGCTTACTCTAACAATGATCCCGTAACCTACTAATTCTGTAAAGTTTCCATTTTTATCATTTGTATTTGGCTTTCTTAATTGTAGGATGTACATTCATCTTGTAATAGAGTAGGAAAATCTCTAAGTTATATATAAGAAATTGTAAAAGTTTTATCAACGCTAATGTCTTAATAGTAATGAATTGTGCAACCAAAGTAAAGGTACGTGGTTCGAATCTACCTGTTGCTACACTGAAGAAAAGATGGGCAAGCTCTTTCTCTGAGAACTTGTTGTAGGGTTGGTTCCAACTAAATGGTACGCAACAACATCAATTAAAAATGTGAAAGCTGGTTAAATTTTAAAATGAAAGGTCAATTTTTAGGCTATTTTGTTTAAAAAGAAAAAAGTAGTAGGTAGGTAGCAGGAAACAGTAAACATAAAGCAACATTCCATAGATTGATTTCTAATAGGTTAAACTAAATTCAAATACATAAATGTGTGTACTATGTCAATTTCTTTTTATTTATAAAAACAGCATTAAAGTGCTAACAACTTTTTTGTTTTGCCTTTTTAGCATTTTTATACTGCTCTTAGAAAACTTACTAATTCTATAGAGGTAATATATATACCTGCTTATGGTGTAGACAGTACAAGTATGTTTATCAGCAGAACTCACAACCCACTGAAAGGGTATCTCAGTGGTTCACAAACCTATGGGTGGTAAGAACATTCTTGTGCTATGACTTAGAACTTTCTATTATCTTAGCATCACCCTAGAGTGCACGGTACACAAGAGGTCCTCAAATATTTGTGCCAAATGAACAAATGGCTATCCACACTTTGTTTCCAATAAAACAACTGTCAGGTTTTTAAAGGAAATTAAATAAAAAGGAAAAACCATTTTAACAGTATTTTTAAACGGACTGAAAACAAGATAATTAAGTGCAAAGCACTTATAAAGTACCTCACAGGAAAGTGCTCATAGGAAGTAAAAATGCTACTCATTAGCGTTAATCTATACACTGAGTTTTTGTTTACAACTACCCTTGCATATCCATCAGTACAAGCCACTACAATTACAGGTAAAAAGAACTCAAATAAGCATGCACTATGAGTGAAGATGTAGCGGCATTATCTTCACATATGAATAAAAGCATCACTTTAAAAGCTTAACAACCACATCTTATGATTAAAGTTGACTCGCTAAGACTTTAATATATAATAAAGAGGAATTAAGCTTTCTCATTTAATCTGCCATTAAATTCTTAAAATCTAATGTATCTCCTACTAGATTTATATACCTCAAAATTTCCTAGAGACATATTTGTAGATTTACATTAACGCAAGTCTTAAGAAATGTCATATTAAAGAAAACATCAAACCTGACTGACATGGAGTTAGAAAAATTTCCTTCATACTAAAGCAAAGCACACTGTACAATAGAAGACTAAAAATTGTTTGGGATTTGCTCTCTTACACTTTGCTGACCATAAGAGAGATGAAGACTGAGGTACTTTGAAAATGCTGTGAGAGTTAAATCAGGCTATATTCTTCATATTCTCTATGGAAGTAAGCTTTAGGTTGTAAGAAGTACCCTCAATATCTGGGGCCAAGAACAATGGCTGCAATGAAAGAACACAGTAGTTAAGATTAAGGAGGAGTTTGTCTTCTATTATGGCTCTAGGTAGAACATCGGTTTGTCAACCTTATTAAAGACAACTTATAGTTCTTTTTTGACTTAATGCAGTGGAACTTAAAATTAATGCAAAATAATCACAGAAGAAATGTTGCATTATATTGGTGCCAACAGTAAACTGTTTCATTTTAATAAATAAATGTTTTTTTAATATGTTGTTATATAACAGTAATTAGATCCTTCTTTTCACTCAGAAGTGAGAAAAAGATATTACTATTGGGCATAAAAAAGCAACCTGACAGCTAAAGTTATGATTTAAAATGGCAGGTTTTATTATGACGTGTAATTTAGGCAATACTAGATAGATGTGTTACCTCAACAATATCCGAGTTGGTTCTGCTTTCATGAGGTTCATTATATTCTGTGTACTTGAGAAGAACTTTGTCCATATCAGTGCTGGCATACTGAAACAGTTTGTTAGAGCTGTTGAAAATGATGAGTGCTATTTCACAGTCACAGAGCACACTAAGTTCATAGGCTTTCTTCATTAATCCAAACTTTCTCTTTGTAAAAGTGACCTAGACAGTTTAAAAAACAAAAAAAGTAGTTTTTTTAATTAAAAACATAAGACTCTCAAAAAGGAAATTATTCCAAACCTCCTTTTTCCCCTCAGACTGCCCCTGGACTACTATCCTACACATTTTAGGTATCCAAAGAGCTGTAGTGACTAATACATTAAGATATTTAAAAATCTAAAGAAAAACAGATTAGTCAGAACAATAAATCCCCCTATGTATTGTATCAATTAGAGTGGTATTCTGGATTACAGTGTGGGCCTTGACTGTACTGTACTGCATGGAGAAAAAAAATAAAACAAGAGTTTAGAATATATTAGTAGAAAAACAAAATGCAACAATTAGAAGAGATTCTTTGGCTAAAGTCTCCGGAACACAGATAAACACACAAATCTAATAGGTCAAATCTTTGGTTTAACTGCTCTTCTTTTTCCTGAAATTTCCTCTTTCTCCCAGTTTGTTCTTAACTCCAAGGGGCACTTGTGACATAGTGCATTATGTGTTATGCTAACCCAAAAGGCTTGAATCCCCCAGCTTCTCCACAGCAAAAAACAGTCAGTTCTTCCCATTAAAATTTACAGAACTAGAGATTCAGTGCTACTAACTCCATGGCAGTCACCCTGACAAAGCTGTGTTAGCCACCACATCACTGTAGAAGGCAAAGAAACAAAAGGCATTGTGTTGCATGTGGTCTTTTATTCAGCTTCAAATTGTTACCCATCATGAGTTCAAATCTTACTCTATGTATACATCTAAACTAATACTTCTCTCTTTCCTCTATCATACCCGCTGAAATTAATCATTGAGGATCAGCAATGACCTCAAATTACTCTTGAAATATTTCTTTCTCTAACAGAAAAGTATCACCTGAAAGCATCCCAAATATAATTGTTTGTTTTTAAATAGTATATTCACCATGCTTCAAAACCCTAAAAGGTGGAAGAAAGCAAAAGAAACCCAACAAAACCCTCAAAGATATATTCTGTGCTTCTACTCCAAGGCCTGCAACAGGGGTATAAGTGGCTCCTCAGGGAAAGACAGGAGATCTCCTTCCATTGCACTAGTCTCAGTTCTGGATACTTCACCAATATTTTATGCATTCTACTCTTTGACTTCCTTTTGGCTAGCTCTCCTATTTTCTTATTACTTCTCCAGTAATTCTTTCACCTTGTCATATTTACCAAGTCATTTTGCTGACCATGTTGTTATCTATTTTCATATCCTGCATTTCCTTTTTGTATTTCATGGTCCATTAATTATTGTTAGTTAATTTCTCTGTTTTCCTTGTGTTAGTAAATTTGCTTGACATAGCCTGAAGTAGGGACAAATCTCTTATACCTAGGTGAAATTGTTCCTGTACGTTCAAGAAAGTAGTTGAAAACTGTTGGAAACTTAAGTGGTTTGTTTTTTTAAGTTGCAACTTCATAGTTATCACCTGTTCTCTTTGTTCCATTCCAGAGTGAAAATGTTTGAAAAGATTATCTGTAATTACTGTTTTATCTCTGTTGGTCTCCTTAACCCCCAAGGTTAGATTACCTTTCTTCATACTTGACTAAGAATATTCTTGTCAAGATCATCAGTGATACACAGTTTACATAAAAGAATGAAAGCGGTCTTACATCTCAGACTATATGGAAGTATTAATTCAAAATGGATCAATGACTTGTTTTAATGTGCTGTCGAGCTGACTGTGACTCATCGTGACCCTATGTACAACAACAGCCTTAAACCCTGCTCTATCCTGTGCCAATCTCATTGTCTTCAACACACCTACTCCCATTACCCCAGTCACTGAATCAATCTACCTCATAGAGGGCCTTACCCTCCTGTGCTGTCCCTCCACCCTACCAAGCATGATGTCCCCCTCTCCAAGGACCGGCCCCTCTTTACAACATGTCCAAAGTATGTTAGACAGAGCCTCAGAATCTTTGCCTCCAAGGAGCAGGTTCCTCTCCAGGACAAGCTTGTTTGTGCTCTTAGCAGTGCACAGTATATCCAATACTCTATACCAATACCACTGCTCAAGGGCATCAATTCTCCTTCTAGCACCCCTTCTACCCTTGTACAGCTCTCTGACACATAGCAAATGACTGCAAAGACCATGGCCTGTATCAGACGCACCTTAAGTCTCCAGAGTGGTATCATTGCTCTTCAGTACTCTGGAGAGGTCTCTGACTTTCCCAATGCAAAGAGTTTTGATTGTGGAGCCAAGTAAACTAAAGCTGTTAACAATCTCAACCACTTCAGCATCTATCATGATGCTGCCAATTGCACCAGTGGTGACAATCTCTGTTTTCTTGATATTGAGCTTCAATCCATATTGAAGGCTACAGTCCTTGACCTTCTGTAACAAGAGCTTCAGGTCCTCCTGTTTCAGCAAGCAGGATTGTGTCATTTGCATAATGCAGAATGTTGATGAGTCTACCTTCAAACCTGATGCCACAATTGTCCTGAAGTGCAGCCTCCTGGATAATCTCTTAGACGAATATGGATGTCAGAAGACACTATGAATATTTCACTAGAGCACCAGGAAGCCAAAGCAAAGGGAAGAAAACAAGATATTAAGGAGCTGAACAGAAGATTTCAAAGGACACTAAAGCATTATAATGAACCATGCAAAGAGCTAGAGTCAGAAAATGAAAAGCACAGAACTTGCTCAGCATTTCAAAAGCTCAAGGAACTAAAGAACAAATTCAAGCCTCAAGTTGCAATACTTAAGGATGCTCTGGGCAGAATATTAAATTATCCAGGAAGTATTAAAAGAAGATGGAAAGAGTATAGAGAGTCATTATACTAAAAGGAATTGAATTTATGTGTTGTTGCTCTTGTTGTTATGTGCCGTTGAGTCGCTTGCGACTCATAGCGACCCTATGTACAACAGCCCTAAACTCTGCTCTGTCCTGTGCCAATCGCATCACCTCTGACACACCCATCCTGATTACCCCAACCACTCAATCAATCCACCTCAGAGGGGGTCTTCCCCTCCTGCGCTGTCCCTCTCCAAGGACCTGTCCCTCCTTGCAACATGTCCAAAGTATGTCAGACAAAGCCTTAGAATCCTTGCCTCCAAGGAGCAGCCTGGTTTGACCCAGGATGAATCTGTTTGTTTTCCTAGCAGTCCATGGTAC